CAGGACCTGCAGCCCCTTGGTCACAGCAGGACAATCCCCTCTCACAGCATCAGTGGGTCGGGGAAGTCAGGGTGACAGCTCCTGTGACAACAGTTGGTTCTTCCATCCCCTCAGCTCACAGCAGGAGATGACTAGTGCAAAGTAATAAAAACCCCAAAACTCTCAAATTATCAGGTACTGGGCTGATTCCTCCCTAAACCCCACGGGGCTCCAAGGCACATGGCCAGGCTGGACACATCTCCCCAAAGTCCCTGCAAACTGCACCTTTAAGGCAGAAACTCCATGCTCAGGCCAGCAGGTTAAAAATAACTTAAAGGCACACATCCCATGGGAAAGAGCCCAGGGCCGGGAGGGGAGGAGTTCACACTCCTGGGTCACTCACAGTGACCCTGCAGCCATTGGGATCTGATGGTTACAACAGAGCTGGCTTAACCCCTCTGTGTCCCATGGGGAGGGGGCAGCTTCTGCAGCAAACCCTGGGCAGGTGCCAGGGCCACTGGAATGGGATGGGGGCTGGTGGCCAGGATCAGTCAGCACTGCCCCAGCCCAGCTTTTCCTGGCAGTCCCCGGCTCAGCCTGCCCCGTGTGGAGGCTGGAGATGAGCAGCTTCCCACGGCTGCACTCCTGGCTCTCATGCTGGCCGAGGCTCTGGGGTCTGGCCGAACCGCTGCTCCCGATGGCCAGCAGCCTGCAGCCACGGCCTCGGGGACAGCCTGTTCCACGGCGTGGCTCCAGGGCTTTCTCCCTTTCCCACGGCAAGGCACACAGGACACGGCGTCCCGGGGAACTTTGTGCAGTTTCCTTCCTTGCAGGGTCTGTGGGGAAAACTGGCGAGAGCAGAGGCTGCGCTCCACGGCCGTGCTCCCGAGCATCCCGTCCCAGGGTGGGCAAGTCTCCGGAGAGGGGAATGTGTATGGCACAGCACCAGGCAGGAGGCAGCTGCCTGCCCACAGCCAGCACCTCTGCAGGCACAAGGGACTGAGGAATGTCCCCGTGCCAGCCGGGGCCAGCCCAGCACTACACGTACTGCTTTTTGGATGCTGAGCTCCCGGGCCGGCTGCCCGGCTTCTCCTCTGGGGCAGAGGCTTCAGCAGGCCGGGGGGTGTAGGGGTCTGACAGGGGCCTGCTGCCGCTGCCCAGTGCCAGGTTCTCCTCGTTGCAGTAGTTGGCCCAGTTCTGCTCACTGGAGAGCTTGTTGTAGGTCTGGTAGGAGGGTGCGTGGCTCTCGGCCATGGGCAGGAAGGGATAGTGCTTGGGCGTGTAGGGACTGGAGACCATGTCATCCACAAAGGTGTTCTGGCTTGGTCCAGTTGGCCCTGACACCTTCTTGATATTGCTAAGCAGGTTCTTGCAGCAGAGGTGGAAGAGCTCCAGGAGGTTCAGCATTAAGGAGATCAGGCCCATCACCAGCATGAAGATGATGAAAATGCTCTTCTCGGTGGGGCGGGAAATGAAGCAATCCACCTGATGGGGACAGGGGTCCCTCTTGCACACATAACGGGGCACCATGGAGAAGCCGTACAGGTACCACTGGCCCACGAGGAAACCGGCCTCAAAGATGCTCTTGCAGATGACACTGGTGATGTACGTCCACATCAGTGCCCCTCGGATCTTGAGCCGCCCACTCTCTGACATGTAGATCTTGGACATCTTCTTCTCCAGGGCTGCCAGGGCCTGCTCGATCTTTGGGTCCTTGCTATGGACAGCTCGAAGCTCGCTCTCCTGCTTCTTCAGCTTCTCCTCCTTCCGGGAGAGATAGACAACATGGCCCAGGTAAATCAGGGTTGGGGTGCTGACAAAGAGGAACTGGAGCACCCAGTAGCGGATGTGGGAGATGGGGAAGGCTTTGTCATAGCAGACGTTGGTGCAGCCTGGCTGCTTGGTGTTACACACGAAATCCGACTGCTCGTCCCCCCACACGGACTCCCCGGCCAAGCCCAGGATGAGGATGCGGAAGATGAAGAGCACGGTGAGCCAGATCTTCCCGATCACAGTCGAATGCTCCTGGACTTGGTCCAGCAGTTTCTGCAGGAATTCCCAGTCACCCATCTTCTAGGAACCCTTTGCCTCTGCCAGCAGAGAGAAGAGAGCAGCCACATCAGTTCCCAGTTTCCATGCTGGGGAGCACAGGGCAGATAAGACCACCTAAATCCCGTGCTTTTTCAGGATATAGCTGCTCTGCAGAGTGCCCCAGCAAACCCTCTGAGGAGCATCCCACTTCTGAGGGAGGGAGGGTTCCAGGCAGCGTTTAGGAGCCCCAGAGGGCTCCTCCTACACAGAGCAGGAACAGGGGACTGGGAGAGACAGGGATTCTCCCCTCCCCGCAACACCCACAGCTCGTGGCTGTCCTGGCCACGCCGGGGACAACCAGCAGCCAGGGGCTCTTTTGGGGCTGCCCAGAGAACTCAGGGCACCTGGAGAGGAGGCACCGTGGGGTCTCACAAATTTGCTGCTGCCCTGGCTTTCCCAAAAAGCAGAGAGCAGGATGGTCTAGAGAAGAAGCACAACCCCTTGGGGTAGAGCTGCCACTCCGATGCCTACTCAGGGCTCATCCCGAACTGAACGGACAGTCTCCCACCATCTCTTGCTGCAGGGCGATGGACTCCCAGCCCCAGCTCCCTCCCCTCGCCAGGGGATTCCCGGCATCGCTCACCACCCTGCTGCCACTCCCGGGATCCTGGGGAGCCAAGCCCGCACCCCGAGGGCGCTCAGCCCGGCCGTGAGGGAGGGACAGGGCGGCCGCAGCCCCAGCTCCTCATTAACCGCAGCTAATTAAGCACAGAAGTGCCGGCTGTGCCGTTAAAGGAACCCCCGACAGCGGGGCGCCCTGTCCCCAGCACGGTGTCCCCGAGCGGTCCCGGCTGTCCGCACTCACCTCCTCCGCACCGGGCACGTCCCGCCGGGCTCGGGCCGCGCTGACTGAGAGGGGTCGGACCGGGTAGCTCCAGTTCTTCGGGGCCTGGGGAAGCCGGAGGAGGAGCGCGGGCAGGAAATTGGGGGCCGGGGCTTAGTACCGGGCCGGGCCGAGCCGCAGGTGTGCGGGGCCGCCCCCTCCCGCGGCCCCCGGACGAGAGGGTGGCCCCGGCGGGCGGAGCGGGGGCGGCCGGACCCGTGGGGGCCGAAGCTGGGGGGGAGCGGTGGGAAGCCCGGGTGCTCCCGCACTCTCGTCTCCGGCTGCGGCTCCGCCACCGGGCAAACTTGCTGAGCCAGAGACCCCGAGATGCTCCGTCCCCTGACCGGTGTGCTGGGGATGTTTAGTTCCCTGCCCGGCGGGGTGTCCCCGGGATCCTCCGTCTTCTGCCCGGCGGGGTGTCCTGGGGACGCTCCATCCCCCGCCCGGTGTCCCGGGGATATTCCGTCCTTGCCCGCCCCGGCCGGACCGCGGCTGCGGCGCTCGTGGTTTGCCCCCGCGGGTCCGTGCGGCGCGGCGGGCGCTGGGTGGTGCTGGAGCCCCACCGGAGCCCGGCTGCGGTCCCGAATCCCGCCGGTTCCCGGGGTGAACCGCACCGGTGCCTGGCCCCCATCCCGCATCCCGCAGGCTCCCGGGCTGAGCCCCACCAGAGCCCGGTTGTGTTCCCGTGTCCCGCCGGTTCTCGGGATGAGCCCCACTGGAGCCCGGGAACTCCCCCGCAGGTTCCAGACGGAGCTTTGCTGTCGGGGGTCTCAGCACACCCCGGCACGCTCGTGAGGCTGGGAACAGCGGACCCTTCACTAGTGCTATTTAAGGAGAGATTAAATGGAAATAATTTCTATTTATTGTAATATTTATCAAGGTTTAGTAAATAATTGATGCTCATCCCTCCTTGATTTCCTTGGGGGCCAGCGTGCGGTTCTGCTGAATTAACGTTTAACGACGCGTGACAAGCTGGGAGAGGCGGAACGGGCGGACGTGAGCTCAGCTGTGAGCTTGACCGACGCCCAGCTCGGGCAGAGGAGAAGAACCTGGCTGCGGGCTGCTGAGAAAGCTCTGCAAATCCATATCTTCTGCCCTCACCAGTTCCCCCGATTTCCAGCACGCAGAGAAGATTTTGGTGTCTCCAAACATGACATTTATTGGCCTTTTGGATCTGTAGCTTGTGCCATGTGTGATGTGCATCTGAGGTGAGGGGGGACACAGAGGCACCAAGCGAAGCAGCAGAGCCAGCAAAGGCGTTTGGGCAGGACACTGCTTGGTGCTTGTGTGAGGGGAGAAGCTTCCCTGCTCCAGTAATGGCAAACTGGGCAAGCAGAACAGTTGCCAACAGCCTGGAGGCCTAGTCCTCTGTCCTTACTTTGGGTGCATGAAGAGAGCTCTGGCCATGGAGCCCAGAATTCCTTTGGTTTCTTGGTACAAAAGAAAGCAGAGCTTGGGACTGTATGTGTGTGAGGCACAGGGAGCTGGGAGGACTGGCATACCCTGGGTGACACCAGCCCTGGCTGGGCACCAGCTGGGTGCACTCACACCCAGCATGGGAGCAGCAGAGCTGTAGGACCCAAGAGAAGCTGCTGGACACAGAGATCTGTGTGCTGCTGTCAAGTCCATGCTTGTGGCACTGCTGCCTGCAGAGATCCAGGGCTGCCCTTGCCTTACCTGTGTCTGCTCAGGCACCCATGGGTCTCTCTCCAGGGACATTACTTTGTTGGGTTTAGTTCATTTTTCACACAGGTCGACTCTTGGTGGCTCGAGGATTTGGCAGGCTGGAAAAGCCAAGTTGGTGGGAATGTGAACTGGCTATGAGCTCACGGTTCTTCTCCTCTGTGGGAAGAACAGACACCCTCAGGCATGGCCACGGGCACCAGCACCCACCTGCCACTGAGCTTGTCCACACCACTGGGACACCTAGAGATGTGCCCATGGTCCCAAGCAGGAGAGTTCCCATGGATGTGTCCCCCTCCCCTTACACCCACTGAGGTCCTGGCTGAAGAGTCTGGTGGTGGCATCACTGGTGGTCACCTGTGGTGCCAACCATCCCTGGCACATACCAGGACATTTCTTCCCCCACCACCCTTCCCAGCACCCCTCAGACAGCAGTCAGGGCTGCCACACACCTAGGCTGGGACTTGCTGTCCTTCTCCTCTGACTTGACGTGACAGTGGCAGGTGGAGGCCTTGCTGTAGCTGACAGAGCGCTTGGATTTCCTCCACTTCCTTGTCCTCTGGACAACTCTCTTGAAGATGAGGTAGAAGATCTCACAGACGGTGAGGACGATGCAGATGGAGGAGGCTCCGACCATGAAATAGGTGAAGACCCTTTTCTCGGTTGGCCGAGCGATGTAGCAGTCCACGGTGTTGGGACAGGGATCCACGTTGGAGCACTTGACCAGCCGTGGCAAATCAAAGCTGTCCCACATCTTGTGGAGGAGGTAGAGGAACAGGATCTCTATGATAAGCTTGAAGAAGAGGCTGAACAGGTAGGTCCACCACAGCCCGCCGTGCTTCTTGCCCGTGTTGCTGTAGAGCTTGGGGCAATTCTCTCCATTCTTCTCCCGGTTCTTCCTCTCGCGGTCCTCCCGGTAGGCCACGTGCATGATGACCAGGAGGGAAGGACAAGTGACAAAGATGAGCTGCAGGGCCCAGAGGCGGATGTGGGAGATGGGGAAGAAGTGGTCATAGCACACGTTGGTGCAGCCCGGCTGCCGCGTGTTGCAATCAAAATCCTTCTGCTCATCACCCCAGACCCGCTCAGCTGCCACCACATAGACCAGCACACGGAAGACAAAGACCACGGAGAGCCAGATGCGGCTGAAGGCTGTGGAGTATTTGTTGACCCCACTGAGCAGCGCCTGCAGCGTTTTCCAATCCATGGCAGCTGAGGGAGACCAGAGTCACCCGACCTGGAGAGGCAGAAGGAGCAGTGGGCGAGGAGCAGTGGGAGACACCACTGGGGCTGCACTAAATCTCATTGAGCTCTGAACCCTCTCCCCCACCACGTTACACTCATCTAGCATGGGGGGTCTCCACCCTTGCAGACAGTAAAGCCCATCCCCACACACTCCTGGTGACAGAGATGTCTCAGTCTCTCTGCACTTCCCTCTGACGGAGCCTTTGCTGTAAGGGATGAGCCACCCGGCCAAGTCCCTGCGAGCTGCTGGGAACTGGCAGCAAAATCTGCTGGAGCAGGCCAGGATCAACAACCAAAGGGGAAATGGCTGCTCCTGCAGGACTGGGGTGCTGGGACATGCCAGTTTTCTGTCTCACAGGTGATACCTGAGGCAGCCCAAACACAGGTGACAGCGGGGCTGCAGAAAGTGAGAGTCTGTGTGTGTCACAGTCCGTGTGTGTCACCCTGGCCAGCGCTCTGCTCCTGCTCCGGCAGCAATGCCGGAGGTCCCGACGGCCAAACCGGCTCTGCAGCTCAGCCTGGGGCTGCTCTGTGTGAGGAGAGTGACATGCTAAGCCTGACCCAGAGATTTACTGCAGCTGGATTTACAAATCCAGGTGGTTTTTACAACCCTCTGGGCTGTGAAAATGTCTGCCCCGGCAAAGGGATTCACAGAATGCTGGGTCACTCCCACTTCTAAGGAATTTCTGCTGCCTATTGCCCAGCCAGTGCCTTCTGAGACATACCTGGAGGGGGCTCAAGCTCCTTCCCCGCTCACCGGGGGCTGTGGGGCAGGAAGTGTCCAGCACGGGGCATAGCCAGGGTGTGATGGCAAACTGGTGATCAGGGTCCTCTCATCCGGTGCACTGCGGTGTCCTAGGGCTGTGGGGACACAACAGAGTCTGGAGCACTGCCCGGAGCCCATGGAGCACTGGGAGCCTGTCCTTGGCCAGGGCCACCCCAAAACAAGCCCCGAACCTGTGGCTGTGCTCCCACACTTCTGGCACCAGAAAGTGTGGCTGAGCTGAGGACCCCCAGGCTGGGGTCCCTGGCAGTGAGTGCCAAGTGCCAAGGCTGTGCCTCTGCCTGTGCCCACACCTTCACTCACTGATTTTCCTCCCTGGCAAACACTTGGCCAGGAGTCAGGGTGGGGAGCAATCACTGTATTCCCACCCAACCCTTGGATTTAAAACTGGCAGGGGAGAGCTGCTGTTTTGCCCCCAAAAGCTAGTGCTGATGGAACCTGGAGCCTGTGCGTGCCCCCAGAGCCTGTGCCCCCTCTCCAACCTTCCAATTCACCCATGACCCCACCCCTGGTGCCAGTGAGACCAACCCAGCACCCACCTGCCCATAACCCACCTGCCCAGCACCTGTGTGCCGGTTCAGCCCAGCGCTGGCTCCGGTCATGGACCCGCAGTGGGGCAGGAAGGGGATGTGATCTCCGTGCCAAGCTCTGTGCCAATCCCCGAGGCGGGGGCTGTGAGCAGCGCTGTGTGAGCCCCCCAGGGCTGGATGGCAGCCAGGCAGAGCAGGGGCAGCGCTCAGGTGCGCTCAGCTGTGCCGGCAGTGCTGCTTTGCCTCCCACAGAGCTCGGCACCCTTGCCAGCCCCCAGGATGCCAACCTGCTGCGTCACGGCCGGGTCCTGCCCCGTGTGGGCGCAGGGCGTTGGACCCGACAGCGCCCTGCTCCCACCTGGGCTGCAAACTCAGCAGAACCACTGTTCTCAGGGGGTCTCTGCCTCTTTTGGGAGTGGGACAGAGGTGCAAGGCCTGGGCTGGCCATTGCTGCTCCTCAGGGTGCCATGCTGTGCCATCCCCCTGCATCACCCCATGGGACGGGGACCTCGACGGGGCCTGTGGGGTCCCGATGTGGCACTGTGTGATGTTGGGATCCCCACCTCTGACCCCACAGTCACAGCAGCCCCAAGTCCCACCTGCACCCTGTTACACGGCAGGGCTGTCCCCCCTCAGCCCTGGCAGCCCCAGAGTACCCTGTGCCCCTGGAGTACCTGTCCAGGCGGGGAAGCCAGAGGAAGGTGTCCGGATCTGAGCAGGGAAGCTCCTTCCGAGCCGCAGCCCTCCTGCACACGCAGGGTTTGTCTGAGCGTGTGAGGGGAGGGGAAGGGTGGTTGGTTTGGTTCCCAGTAACTGGGTGAGTCTGGCAAACAGCTCCTGGAGAGGCTCTTGCTGCGTACATGCACACACACGCTCGGCTTGAACAACAAAAGGCAGGTCAAACCCCGCAGGGAGATCAGCACAGACGGATTCCTTCACAGGAAACACCAGCAGCTCCTTCCAGGTGATGTCCCATTCCCTGCAGGGATGGTCTGGGCACTGCAGATCCAGCAGCAAGACCAGAGACCACGCACCATCCCCCAGCTGTGAGACCACCAGCAACCGCTGCCGAGAGTCCCAGATTACGCAATTGTAACCCACTTTGTAAATGATTTTGCCTTAGTAATAGTTTTGCAACAGCTCATCAGTATCTCCAACCTACAGGAACTTGCAGGCACCGCCCTGGCGGGGCCGGTGTGGCCAGATGGGACCTTTCCCAAAGAGCAGGGTGGCAGCAGGGTCCCTGTGCAGCTGGAGCCTGATGGACCCATGACCCTCATGCCACAGCCCCATGGGACCTGGCAGGTGTCCCTAAAGGGGGTGTCCCTAAGGGGGTGTCCCTAAAGGGGGTGTCCCTAAGGGGGGTGTCCCTCTCCCGGGAGCATCAGCGGCTCCCAGGAGGCTGAGTCAGCCCCATCCCCCCGGCTGCCCCATGGATCAGCCCCAATAGGTGCCTGTGCCGACATAGCCGAGCAGGAATGCGCTTGCCTTCACTCAGCTGGCTTCTAGAGTGCCCCGAGGTTTCCCTGGAATCCTCCGGCACACCCTGGGGCTGATCAGCCGTGCTGGAGCCTCACAAGCACCTCGGCACCTCGCCAGGGCCACCCCTCCCATGGGGACGGGTCTGAAGAGCCCTGGGGTGCTTGGTTCCGCGGAGATTTGCTCCCTGCTCTCCTGGCAGACAAGGAGCCACTTGCCCGGAGGCTTTTTGTCTCCAGGAGGTCAAATAAAGCCAGTGAGGGTTTGCCAGGCTAGGGACACACAGGAATGTGAGCCTAGGAGACCCAAAGCAAACCCTGGTGGGAGCCTGGGGGTGCAGGATGGGGTGAGCCTGGAGGAGGGGACAGACACGGGCACCCCAATCCCAGATGAGAGCCAAGCAGGGGCTCTGGAGCCTTCCTTCACCCCGGAGCTGCCTGGGTCGGGAATTTGAGCTATGTTGCTGCAGAGAGCTGGCGTGGCAGGAGTTCAGCAGGAATCTGGGGGCTGTGGCCTGTGAGGTGAAAAACCCTGGAGAGAGGTAAGCACTGGCAGCTCTGATTCCTTGCAGAGGCAGCTGCTCCCTGCCCCAGGGCCAAACCCGGTAAGGGTCAGGTGAAGAGGGGCCAGATCACCCCTGGGCAGCCTCTTGCCTGCAGTTTTGGAATTTCAGAAGCGGCCATGTGGCCACGGTGAAAAAGTTCAGGTGCATTTGGCATGGGCAGAAGATCTCCCTCGGGCAGTTGGGTGGGGAGAGGAAACACCCCGTGCTTTGCACTGTTTTGAAATGCTGAGCTGGGTGTTTGGATAAATCCATAAAACCATCAAGGGGCACATCCCTGCGCCCCCTGCTACCATCCCTCTGCCCGTGTGGGCGCAGGGACGAGGTGCCAGCGTGGTTCTGCTGATCTCAGCACCTGAGAGCTTCAGGGATATGCCCAGGACATGTCACCCTGCTGCCACCCTGCTCTGACACGGCAGGGTGACAGCTGAAAGGTCTCAGTGCCACTGGAAACCCCAGTGACTTAGGGAGGCCCAACCTTGGCTCCTCCATAAAGGAAAAACCCAAACAGCTCCAGCAGGCGGATGCCAAAGCAGCAGGAAAAGCTCAAACCTAAAACCCTCTTTAGAAGGGTCTTAAATGGGGCATGGCAGGATTCTGCCTGCCAACAGCTGTCCTCCTCCAGGGCCACATCCCCAGGGATGAGACTCCCCCGCAAGAATAGGGGCAGAGGAGTCATGGGATCCTGGGAGCCAGCAGCAGGGGCCAGATATAAATCAGAGTTTTTCCTCAATTCCCAGCAAACAGGCGGGTTTTGGCCAGGGCAGAAACAAGCCCAAGATGGGAAGGCCAAGCTACCCCTGACCTGTGCACGCAATCCCCTCCACATCCCTGCCTAGGCTGGAGTTAGTGGTGAGTTTCTTTAAAATTTCCTCACTTCAAGATTTAGGAAGTCTTCTGGGACGCCACAAGCAAATACAGGGAATTTCCTGTGTGAGGATGCAAAATCTGGGAAATATTCAGCTTTTATTGTGACACACCCCTTGGTTCGCTGACCCTGGTTGTGCCTCTGCATCCCAGGAGGTATCCCAGTATCCAGACCCCTGTTTTTGCAGCACCAATATCAAAAGAAGGAGCTGAATGCTCACGTTTTTCTGGCTGACTACTGCTTATCCCAAGCATGGATGGTTCAAGACACCCGGAACTCTGCAATGTTTTCTCCGAGCATGACAAAAAGGCACAACATCGAGCAACTGGATCTTCAGGTGTCTCACGATGGGCATCACCTCCAGCTATGCTTTGATGTGTGGAAGTGAGACAGGGTGTTTTTTCTGGGGCTCATCTCTGTCCCCATTAGCACTTAGAGAGGGGAACACCTCGGGGTTTCACTCTTCAGCCTGGAGCAGGAGTGGCCAACCTTGCTGGAAAATAAACAGCCCAGCCCATGCTCTTTAAATCAGGGCAATGTCTCGCACACAAAGAGCAGCTTGTGTCCTCTGACATTACAGGCTTCATAAGGAAAACTTTCAGGTGGATAATCCAGCAATAGGAGTGGATGGAAGGAAGGCAGTGCCAGCACAGCTTCCCCTGAGTAGAAGTGGAAATAATTCTGTATTTCAACAGCTGCCTCTGACCCCAAAGATCCCCAAACTCACTGGTGTCAGCACAAGGAGCTGCTGTGGGCTCAGAGGGCTCTGTGCCAGTGGCCAGGATCCCCCCCAGAGCTTCTCCACCATCCTCACCCCCATCAGTGGCTGGTTCAGTCCCTGCCCTCCCACCCAGCAGTGCTGCAGCCCCACCTGCTCTTGGCTTCCCTTCAGCTCTGCCTGTCCTGGCACTCCCCTGCACTCCCTGCAGCCCCTCAGTCCAGCACATAAAGCTGGTCCTTTCCCCAGAATGGGCTGTGGGAAAGAGCCCAGTTCTGCCCATGGAGGGTCTCAGCTGGATCACTGCAATGATCTGTCACTGAGAATGGCCTCAGTCACATAAAGGACACAGCGATGGTGTTCCTTTGGGTCAGAGCCAGGGAGCCCTGGCACCGTCACTGCTCATGGAAAAAATAATTATCACACCCTCTGAGTAAAGCAAAACCAGTAACAGATCGAGCTGCATGTTCAATGTTAATGTTACTTGTGAGTGCATTTGCCATGAAATTATTGTTAATTATTCATGCCAGTTAATGCTCAGCTCCCTCTGATGGCCTCGGAAATGGCAGCACTGCCCGTGTCACGGCCGAACGCGATGTATTGCAACAATAAACGAGATCAGATTCCGCCATTTAATGTTATTATTTAATCAATGGTTGGGGTGTTTTTCCTCTCCTGTGTTTGGCTGTTTTGCTCAGGTGTTTTGCCCTGGCCAGGCAGGATGATCCAGCAGCCCACAGCGGGTCCTGCCTGCCTGGCCGGATCCTCCTGCTCTTTGCCGAGGTGGCTGTGGCACCAGGGACCTGCTCTTGTCCCCACTCCACTAATGAGTGTTCTTAATGACAATTGCATCAGTCTGAGATGGCCCTGACACCAACTGAGTGGCTGATGTAGGGTGAGAGATAGGGAGAGTGGTTTCCTGGGGGGTCAGGGTGTCTGTCCTGGCTGGTACAGGCTCAGAGTCTGGGCACCACAGCTGCCATGTCACTCCCAGGTACAGCATGTGTTCTACAGCCCCTGCTTCACCCCAAATTCAGCAGGATGATGTAAAGTGCCTTTCCCAGGACAGGGTAGGCCTCAGGTACAGCCCAACTCAGCGCTGCTGCACTGGGGCACAGAGGAGGAAGAGCAGCCAAGAAGTTGCAGGCCAGGTGAGCGGCTCCTGCTTCCTCCTGGGCAGCTCTAGGAACGAGCCTCATCCTCGGACAGCGTGCTGGGGCAGGAGGCCGTGAGTGGGATGGTGGCTGTGTGGGGTTTGTAGTCTGCCCCATGGAACACCTGCCCACCCGTGCCCACGGGGTCGGCGTGGGAGACGGAGCAGTCGCGGCTGTGCCGCCGGCTGTCCCCTCCTCTGGCCTGCAGGCACTCGTGGCACCGCTTCCCGATCAGGTAGGTGGCCTCGATGAGGTTCAGCACCACACAGACACAGGTGGTGACCACCATGAAGAGGGTGAAGATGTTCTTCTCGGTGGGCCGGGAGATGAAGCAGTCCACCACGTTGGGGCAGGGCGGCAGCTCGCACTTCACCAGCCGGGGCAGGGTGTAGTTCCTGTAGAAGCGGTAGAAGATGTAGAGGAAGACCACGTCCACGCCGGCCTTGAAGATGAGGCTAAGCAGGTACGTCCACCAGAGCCCGCCCCGCTTCTTGCCGGGGTTGGGGTAGATGCAGCGATAATTGTCCCCTTTGGTCTCACGGAGCCTCTGCTCCTTGGCCTCCCGGTAGGCCACGTGCATGATGACCAGGAGGGACGGACACGTCACCAGGATGAGCTGCAGGGCCCAGAGGCGGACGTGGGAGACGGGGAAGAAGTGGTCGAAGCAGACGTTGGTGCAGCCCGGCTGCCGCGTGTTGCAGTCGAAGTCCTTGTGGTCATCGCTCCAGACGCACTCGGCCGCCACCAGGTAAACCAGCAGGCGGAAGATGAAGACGAGGGAGAGCCAGACACGGCCGAAGGCTGTGGAGTATTTGTTGACGCCGCTGAGGAGCTCCTCGAACACCCCCCAGTTCATGGCTCCCCGATCTTGTTAGCCAGCCTGGAAAGAGAGAAGACACTGTGACACTGAAGAAGAAGCAAGATGTCCCCATTGGAGCCCCTGTGTGCCTCAAAGCACTGAGCCATGCTCCTGGGACCATCTCTGCCCTGTGCTGACATGCAGGGACAGCACAGACCTGGTTCAGCTGACACGTCTCCTCGGAGCACCGTCCCCCACTCTGGGAACACGGGGACCTGCCAGCGCTCGGGGTTTCAGCCACAGCCACAGCATCCTCCAGCCACCGCCACCTCCGGTGCATGGCTCAGCCCTCATCCCGCCCCAGCTCCCGCCTCGTTGCCCAGGTATTTGTTATTCATTTTCCTTACGTTGCCAGGCCTGGCCCAGGCAGGCAACAAATCGGGGCAGCCGGGGCGTGACTCACCCGGCTGCTCTGCCGCGTCCTCTCCCATCGCTGGAATCTGCCATCGCCTCCGTGCTCCCCTGGCAGTGCAGGAGGAGCCCTGTGCCACTGCTCCGTGTCCCCAAGCCGCGCCCACGCACCGGCGAGCTCACAGCAGGGCAGAGACTGGGCTGGGCTGGGCTGGGGGGTTGCACAGCCCCTGCAACGCCGAGGAGCCAAAACAACCAATATTCACCAGCCCCAGACCCCGGCGATTTGACCCCGGCGATTTGACCCCGGCTTGCATGGTGCCAGATAAACACACCTCATGCACCGTGGAGCTGCAGCAAAGCGGGGCTTTGCAGGGCTGCGTTTGGCACCGGCTCTCCTGAAATATTTTACCTACCAGTGGAATAACAAGATTTCCCCTCGCCGAGGGGTGAACGCATCCCCTGCTCTGCACAGCTCACCCACCCGCAGGGCTGGAGTGCCCACGGACGCTCCCGGTTCTCGTCCCTCCCTGGAGGAACACGCAAACCCCAGATTCCCCCTTCCCTGTGCACGCTGCCGGCAGCAGCGCAGGCCGTGCCCATCTCCCCGGTGTCAGGCTGGGCAGACGCACTTCCCCAGCGCCCTCCCCACCTCCTCGGGGCCGGGGGTCGCACAGAGGGGGTCCCCAGCCCGCTCACCTGCGGGTGTCGCTCCGCGGCGCTGCTGCGGGTCGGCACCTGCTCAGGGCAGGAGCGCATCGCCCGGCTCGAGAGGCAGCACATGAGTCACCCCCGCGCTCCTGGGAGCGAGGAGGAGATTCCCGGGGGAAGGGATGAGGCTCCAGGCGGATCCCCACGTGTCCCACGGAACGCCAGATTTCCCGAGGCGAAGGGCGGCCCCGCAGCGCTGCCGTGCCGGGAAGGGCTGAGCCGGCTGCTGTGGAGAGGGGTGGGAGCTCAGGGCTGTCTGTCCTCAGCTTGTGCAAGGGATGTTCAGGTCCCTCCATGCCTTTCTTGCACCCACCTTCCCTTGCTCCAAAGTGGCCGAAGCCCTGGGAGTCCCTGCCCACAGCATTGCAGCCTCTCAGCCGAACACCGCCCTTTATAATCCTTTTTTATTGAAACTTTATCCCTCACCACCCTCTGGTAAGTGTGTGGCAGTTGATAATTTCACTGGCAATTAATTAACTGTTTACCTGTGCTCCCCTCACCTGCAAGCTGGCACAAGTCTCCATCACCCCTCCTTGATACCAGAATCTGGAGCCCTCCCAGGATGAATCTCCAGCTCAGAGAACCCTCTTTGAGGTCTGACCCCCATCTCACAGCTGTGGGGTGCAGAGATGGGGGTCAGAGGGGAGGGGATCCAAGGAGGTGTGGGGTACAGGAGTTCAGGTACAACTGGAGTCATTTGAGGAGCAAACACATGTTTCATTTGCAATTCTGCTGGGGTTTAAAAAAAAAATGTAGAGAAACAAATCTAAACAGCTGTAAAGTAAATTACCAGTGTTTGCGGATGGCTCCAGGGAAGAGTTCTGCAGTTTGAAATCAAACAAGCCCATTTTTATTTTTTTTAACATGCCTGTGTAGTGGCTGTGCCAGGAAAGGGGCTCCCAGGGGCTGTGTCCCCCACGGGCAGGCAGGGAGGACCCAGAGCAGCACTCATCCACCAGCACCCAGTGGTGGCTGGGGGACGTTCTGCCTTTGGTACCCCGAATTTTGTGGGTGTCAGAAGTGGCTCTTTGTGTCTTTCTGGGTTAAAATCCCCTCTTTTGGGGGGCTGTCAGGTGTGATGGGCAGCTTCTGCTGCGGGTAGAGCCCCCTCCATCCCTCCACAGGTGAGTCCCCAGCACAGGGGACACAAAGGTGTATTAATGGCAGCACTTTATCTTCCAGGAACAAGCCCCATTAGTACATTTGCACTACAACATGAAATATTAATAACACTTTGCATTTATATAGCGTCATTCATCCCGCAGTCACCAGCCAAGCCACTGACATGAATCAAACACTGCAGCCAGCTCTGGAGGAGACAGGTAAACGGGATTAGACCCATTTTCCTGCTGCATACACTGAGGCACAGGGTATTCTCCAGGTCACCGGTGCCACTGAGGATGTTTTGGAGGAAAAAACCCAAACACACGAGGCCAGGGACTGCTCCGAGCTGGGGTTCCTCCTCCTCCAGCTGCTGCAACTGGTATTTGCTGTTCCTGATACTGTGCTGACAGTGCAGGGAGGGGAGTTAGGAAACCTGTCAGCCCACGGAGAGCCAGGCCCTGACACGACCCGAGGGCTCCGGCAGCATGAAAGAGCAAGCAGTAAACCAGTGGGGAAAGAAAGGGCTCTTTTCATCTTATTAAAGAGCCTTGTATTTAACCCTCCTCCAGCTCCAGTAGCACAGGGTGATTGCGAAGGCTTTTACACACCAGCTCAGCAGGACTCGGAGATGCTGCATGCAGATGCTGGTTAGCAGGGCGGAATCCCGTGATTGATGATGGATAAGGACAGACAAACAAGTCCTGGGCAAAGTTCCGGAGCGGTGCTGAGCGGCAGGGAAGGGGTGTGGGCACAGCACAGCCGCCCACCATTGTTATTCCATGAAGAAGGCACCTTGTTTGCAGATAATTAAAAAACCCCAAACAGATTAGTGAAAATTAAACACCCAGAGCAGGCTGGATGTTGGCTCAGCCGCCGGGAGAGTCGTGTGAGCATCGCTGGCTGCTGCTTCCAACCCGGCTGCTCCGTGCCTGGCTCAGCCCAGGGACCCCCTTTCCTCAGCCCCGTGGCTCCCCACTGCACTGCCAGCTGCATTCCCCATCCCACTGTTTGGAAGTTTGGGACTGTTTGGAAGTTCTTCCACTTCCACACAGGAAAATCTGTGTTCAAGGACTGTCTGGATGAGAGCAGGCAAACCCTCCCCAGCCCAGCCTGGTCGTGGCCATCTAACACGGCCAGCACCCATTAATCTCACATTTATACGTGAGGCTGCAGGGAGTAACTTCATTTCTAGGGAGACCTTAATTAATCACTGACTCAAACTGCTTCGATGAGGTGGTTTGCAGCCGAGGAGATAAATTGATACGGTCAGCAGTGGCTGAGGATGAGGATGAGGTTAGCAGGGACCTAAATCACGGCAGATGATGGTGGTGAGCATAGCAGGGGACAGGGCGAGCAGGGGACAGGGCACATCTGTCGTGTAGAACCTTCCTCTGCACTGGGAGGCCGATGAATGGGACACGGGAGATGCTGCTGTGGCTCTTTGCCCCTAGGAAGGCAGAAATGAGAATGTTCTCAGCCTGTGCAAACCATGCCCCTGCAACGGTGGCAGGGGAAAGATGCGGAGGACAAATTCCTAAGCCAGAGGGGACCGTGGGCAGTCACACAGCCCCAAACCCCAGGCGGGGAGGGATTGGGAGACTTGATGCCCCCACAGTAGGAGCCGAGTCCAGCCCAGCGCTCGGCCCCGCTCACTGTCACTGGCGGATCCATTACTGCCTGTTTTGGGTTGTTTGCCCAAATAATCACCGTGCAAAAGACATCACCGCCCTTGCCACTGACCTTGGCAGCCTCCAAATGGGCGGCCCGCAGGTCAAAGTCTTTATATCCCATTACCAGTCTCCTGAGTCATGCCTGTCTCCTGGCAAGTTACATTCTTTTCAGATGGCAGCTAAACGGGAAAGAGGTCGCGCTCCCAATACGGCGACAATAGGACATGACAGCACTTTTCTGAGTGATTAAGCCTCAGGTGATGGCAGGGCTACAAGACAAGTGGCTGAAAGCTGAAAGACTTTAATCACCTCGGACGCGGCACTGCATCCTTACACTCCATCCTGCCAGGCTGGGTTTTTAGTGCGAATAATAAAAATAATCCAGCCCAGCCCGCGCACCCACCCGTTAGTTATCCGTGCTGCTGTTAATAACCAGCCCGGGCAGCCTGTTGGCCCTCAAAGATCCTTCTGCAATAAATCAGCGCTGATGCCTTAAAATAACTGTCCGGGGCCGCCGGAGCTGACACTAGATGGCATTGGGAGAACGCGCGGCGCGGCACAGCCGCCTTCCCCGGAACAGTCTGGCAAAACAGAGCAGAAAACTCAGGATGACGGAGCAGAAAATGTCTCAGCCGAGGAGAGGCCACCAGCTAACCTCCATCCTCACACCCACCAGTTCAACTCCATCCTGAGCCCACCAGTTCACCTCCATCCTCACACCCACCAGCTCACCTCCATCCTCACACCCACCAGTTCAACTCCATCCTCACACCCACCAGTTCAACTCCATCCTCACATTTCCCAGTTCACCTCCATCCTCACACCCACCAGTTCACCTCCATCCTCACATTTCCCAGCTCACCTCCATCCTCACACCCACCAGTTCACCTCCATCCTCACATTTCCCAGCTCACCTCCATCCTCACATTCCCCACTTCACCTCCAGCATCTCACCCGCACTGAGAGCATGGTGGTGGGGCAGAGCTCAGGGTGTTTCACCTCTTGTTTGAGCTAATAAAATAGATTGTCCCCAAACTATTATTTTTTTTTCCCAAGGAGAAGTTGCACTTGTGGCTCTTCACAGCCTGACTGTCCTCACTGGCACCAGCACAGCCCTTTGGGACTCGATGTGCCTTTACCTGGCAGGGGTAGGTGCACCTG